GGAGTCGAACTCAGATATGAAAAACAGGTTTACATACCAGAAACCTGTTTTTTGGTTGGTAAGGCAGGAGAAGGAACAACTTTTTAGGGTGCCATGAGGATTAAATGCAGTTATGAATGGCATATGTATTGTTTTCATCTGGAGCTTTGCTAGCTAAGTGTTTGCCATATCATATTTGTGAGGCCTGAGCTTTGAGGTCAAGGACAAGAGAGGGTCACAGGAGCCTGCCAGGTTGAAGAGAATATGAGAAGTTTAACTATATATACCAGACTTCATTCACTAGCACACAGACTGACAGGCAAGCAGATGTTTCAGACACGTATGCAAAGACTAAGGCAAGGACACTTGCCTCCAGTCTTCAGGCCATATTGACAGAAAATAATCATACAAAAATGGAAGTTTGCCAGAAATAGTTATATAAGAAATATATCTGATGCCCTCTTCTGGCATGCCAGTGTATATGAGGATATGAGTACTCATATACATTAAATAAATAAATAAATCTTTGAAGAGGGGGGTGGGGAGAAAAGAAAAGAAAAAGCAGAAAGAGGAAGACGAATCAAGTTTGTTTATGTTTTGTTAGAATAGCAAGGATAAAGAAAAATGTCATGACTTAGAAACGTGATTACTAAGAGCTTGCTTATTCTTAGTGCTAGAGAGATGGCTCAGTGGCTAAGAGCTCTGGCTGTTCTTTCAGAGGACTGGAGTTCAGCTTCCAGCACCCATGTTGAGCAGCTCACTGCCATCTTTAACTCCATCTCCAGGAGATCAGTTGTCATCTTATGGTTTCCAAGGGCATCCACAGTCATGCACACAAAGAGAAAGAGACAGACATCATTTTACAGAAAATGCTTGTTCTTAAGCATGGAACATTCTGGTCATTCGATTGTTAGAGGATCACAACTTAGGCAAGAGCCTTACTGTGTCAAAGGATTTTATGATGTGGCGATATAGTAAATAGACAATTTTCAAGTCTTATCACAATATTAGGACTATATTTTAAAGTGCTTATCTGATTCTACAGGGTCGGAATCTGGCAGATCTTCGACGTAGCCAGTCCCGGGGCACATTCACGATTAGCACTACTCTTCGTCTTGGGAGACAGATTCTGGAGTCTATTGAGAGCATACATTCTGTGGGATTTCTTCACAGAGACATCAAACCGGTAGGAGCCCTTTCTGTTCCAAGCACAGAAGGCTATTGTTCGATGCTTCTCATGTTAGGAGAATTCAGAATGTACGGTAAAGGTAATTTTCTGTATTTGTTGTAGTTAACTCCAAACAATATTTTTATTTCTGTAATGCCCTAAAAGTATACAACAGCTATTTTCAATAGTTTTATCATAGTAAGAAATGTTGCTTACTAACTAAATTAAAAATATTTTATGCAGCCATGAAAGGCACAGTGGCACACGCCTTCAATCTCAGCACTCAGGAGACAGAGGCACGAGGACCTCTGTGAGTTCAAGACTACCCTGGTCTACAAGTGAGTCCAGGACAGCCAGGGCTGTTACACAGAGAAACCCTTTCTTGAAAAAACAAAACAAAACAAAACAAAAGTTATGTTTGGGGGCTAGAAGATGGCTCAGTCATTTAAAGTACTGAGGACTTGAGACCTGAGTTAGATCCTGGGTACCTTTTTTTTTTTTTTTTTTTTTTTTAATGGCCATGGTGGTGCTAACCAGGAGAAATGGGATCTTTAGGAATCAATTGGCCCACCAACCCTGGCCTGCGTAAGGAAAACCACCTAAGATTTGTTTTCTGGTCCCCACATTCACAATCACAAGTTCTATGCTTGTCAGTCATTATTAGATGTGTCAACATTGCTAATTATTCAGCCTTACATGCAAATCATTAATGTGAATTCTGTGTTTCCTGATAGCAGTTGTTCATTTTCTTAGGTCACCAGTTGTATTCACTAGAAATAATCAACTGTGAAAGACCTTTCTCTTCTCCTAAGAGCTACTGTGGAAATACAATTTTTCTTTTCTTTCCTATTTATCTGGTATTTTATACTTCATAAGGGAAGATGACCCATCTCTGATATCCCACATTTATAAATGTAATTGATATCAGTGCATTTGAAAATTGACTGTTGGTGTAATTTGAAGATTACAGCCACCTGTTCTTACCTCCCCTCTAAAGTTGATTTACAGGAAAATGGTAATTAAATTTTTTCAAAGTGGGTTCCTCTTGAATTAGAACCTTCTGAAAATAGGAACTGGTTATTAATTAATATTACATTTAAATAAAACTATGATTAAGTGATTTATTTTAGAGCAGTTATTGTATGGGGAGATTGAACCAGCTTGTCAATGTAGAGTCATCTTTACAGTTACATTTTATTGTCATTCAGTGCCCTTCTCTGTCATTATTTGAGAAACCTAACTTTCCATCAGAAAGCTCCTAAATAAAATACTTTTTTAAAAAGCAAACAATGATGTAATAGCTCATATTTTACCTTTACAAATTTCCTTATTTGCATATTTACCTTTCTAGATTTGCAGTTATTTGACAAATTACATAGAATTTAGGTTTGGGGGCTGTTTTGTTTTGAGACAGGGAATTATTTAACTAAGGCTGACCTCCAAATTGCTTTATAGCTTAGGATGGCCTTAAAATGGTTCTCTTGTCTCTGATTCCCGATTGCTGGAATTAAAGGTATATGCCATCACATCTGGCTACACTGGGTTTTGTTTTTTGTTTTTGTTTTTTTAAGAGAAAGTGTAAATTTTTTTTCCTTAGTTCTATTTTGGAATGTTTCCCTAAATTGTGCTTTTAATTTTAGTGCAATTCAGCTTTATGATGCTTATAGAAAATTATTTTATTTTATTTGCTTATTTATTAAGACAGGGTTACACTGTGACTTGCTTTATAGACCAGTCTGACCTTGAACTCACAGAGATCAGCTGGCCTCTGCCTTTAGTATTGGAATTAAAAGTGTGTACCATCATGACCAGCCCTTATACTTAAATAAAAGATTGAGAAGTGATAAAAATTCTTTTAAGTTTATATGTATTTTCCCCCACCCCTAGTTTTCCTTGTTTAGGAGGTTGGGTTGTCATGTAAACAATAACTTAGACTAGAATTTCAAGGAATCTAGTTTTGAATTTAATTAAGTCATTATTATATGTAACTTATACAAACATTTATATTAATTTTTGCTTAATTTCACTGATGGTAGATATTAACAACAAGTCACTAGTTATATTTACAAGAACACTCAACTATGAAAAGCTTTTATTTTCCCTTGAGAGGTAGAACCAACAACTTAATTATATAATAACGTCTAGTAAAAATTATAGACTTAAAGTAGTGTATCTGAAACTCACTGTAAACTAGAAGAATTCATGCGGGATAAAATGTAGGCAGTCTGAGTATTGTAACAATATGTATTTTCCATTGTTATTTTTTTCTAGTCAAATTTCGCCATGGGACGCTTTCCTAGTACATGTAGGAAATGTTTCATGCTTGATTTTGGCTTGGCCCGACAATTTACCAATTCCTGTGGTGACGTCAGACCAGTAAGCTTTTTCATTACTATTTGATATTTGATAATTAAACTCTTGTTTCTTGTATCATTTTAAATAAATGCTAATTATGTATCAGAATGAATGTTAGAAGGATGAAGCTCAGTGAATTAAAAAAAAAAAAAAAGATGTTTGTTTTTATTGAAACCAGATTAGAAAATTAGAAGATTAAGAAACTAGTATTTAGAGTTAGCTGTGCATAATCAGTAGGGGACTTACTTGAGTTTTAACTTTGTGATATATTAGCAAAATATTCTGTGATACATAGGAAGAAGTTCTTCTCTGGTGAACTTGTATATGGCAAGAGTTATGCTGAAGGCACACCACAGTGGTGAGATGGGAGATGCGTTGGTGGGGGGGTCGTCTGTTAAGGGATTTGAAAAAAAAAATGTCCAAGTAGAGGGTTTTTTACTAAATTTACTCTTAGGATTTTTGCCAAAACTAGTCTTGAGAAGACAAACACAGATGCTACCTAATCAAGGCCAACTTGAAAAGGGTTTCAAGGAATCTGGCTAGAATCGTGTCAGGAGAAAGTATGTGAGATGCCATGCACCAGGCACCCATCTTCCTCTTCACCAGTAGGCTACTGTGGCAAGCTGGAATGCCCTCCAGTCCTGCACTGGAGCCCTGGTCAAGGACGTGAACCATGTGCTGCTGACTGCAGCCGCTTGGAATGGAGTCACTTTAGTCAGGCTTGGTGATGGGGACAGTGGTCTTGGTTTGGATAACATAGGCCTTTACTTTGCTTATTGGATGTTCACAAATTTTCTTGAAAATATTTCATTTGTTTGTCTTTAAAACTATTTCAAGTCTTACACGTTTATTTTGTTTTTAATTGTTTACCAACTTCACTGGGAAATGGGCAATTCTCTGTATTGTTTTGCTGACTTTTCTGTTTAAACTTTTAGTTTGTTTAAACTTGGTCTTTCTTTATGATTTTCATTTCTATCAGGTTAACTATTGTATAAAAGTTAAAACATTTTGATTTTGATTGAGCCAACTGCAAACCAGTTATACATACATGCAAATTATAATTAAAGTCTAGGGATATGAGAATTTCTTTTTTCCTTTTGGAGTAATTTTGAGTCATGGTCTCACTTCGTAGCCCAGGCTGTCCTAGAACTCACTGTGTAGATCACTATGTGGTGATGGCTTGCATTAATATTAGAAGGCAGATAATCAACTTAGAATCTGTCAGACTTGAATACACATTGTGAGTTCCATTTTCAGATATTAGATGTTTGGTTTCTAGAACATTATCAGGTATTGTTGGTTTACTCATAAAACATATTTAATGAGCACATATTATACGTAAAGCATAAATCCAGGTGCTGGGGCAGCCACAGTAAATAAGCATACAAATTCAAAAGCCTTGTTGAGGTTCTTTTAGTAGAAATGAAGCATGACACACAGATAAGAAATTTTATTTATTTTTGAGACCAGTTTTATATAGCCTTGTCTTGTCCAAACTTGGTCTTTTTCTTCTGCCTCCTAGGCCTCTATAATGCTGAGATGGAAGACATTCATGACATTTCCTGGCCTAAATAAGCAATTTTGTGCAGTGGTAACCCAAAGAGTTCTGTGTGTTAACAGAAATGGGCAGAGGCCAGAAACAATTCTAGAGGTGTAGATTACAGAGAAAAGACCTCCAAGGAGATACTGTATCAGCAATTAAATACAATATGAGAGCAAAGCTGTGAGGCTATCTAGAAACAAAACTAAGTAAAAAGAATAGATTAAATTTGTTTAATTGGACCTGGTGGCTGTGGCCTATAGTTCCATAGAAGGTTGAGGGAGAAGAAACTCAAAATTCAAAACCTGCCTGGACTACAGAGTAAACTCAAGGTTAGTGTGGTCAACCCAGTGAGACCTTATCTCAAAAACTGGAAACGAAGGCTAGGCTATAACCTGCAGATAAAGCATGTCTGAAGACCTATGTTCAATCGTTGGTATCCTGAAGTGGGGGCAAGCATTTTTTAAAGGAAAACAAAAACCAGAACTAGTTAAAGGTTACCTAGGAAGAAGGTATGACTAGACTAGGAAGGAAGTGTTGGTCTGAGCCACTGGGATACTTTGAGCAATGTTGGGGTGGACGGGGAAGAACCGTGGGCCAGCCCAGACTAATGAGAAGTAGTATCAGTTTTGAAAAGGGAAAATCAATAGAGCAATAGTCTCTTGGGAGCCAAGTGAAGAAAGTTCTTCAGAAGGGATGGTAGAGTTGTCGTTCCTGGTGGGTATTACTGAGAAGTAACCGTTGATAACTTCCATAGTAGATCATCGTTGTTTAAGCCAGGGATGGTAGTGATCCAGCACATGGGATGTGATCAGAAGTTTGAGGTCATTCTCTGCTACAAGGTGATTTCAAGGCCAGACTGAGGAACATGAGGAACATATAGAGTCTTTTGGATATATGCCTAAGAGTGAATTAGCTGGGTCCTATGGTACTTGTGATTTTAGTTTTGGAGGAAGCATGTAAACAGACTTCTACAGTGGCGTAATAGTTTACATTCCCACCATCAGTAGATAAGGGCTCCTTTTTCTCCACAGACTTGCCAGCCTGTGTTATCTTTGTTTTCTTGATGTTGGTCATTCTTTCTGAGGTGAGACCAGATCATTTGGGGCACTTGTCTTCTTTGGTGTCTGGTCCGTTTTCTTCAGATGTTTCATTTATCCAGTGGTTTCCACACTGCTTAGTTGTATGCTTTTCTTCTAGAAAGAGAAAAGCAAAACCCTGCCTCAGCCCTAACTCTGGGGGTTTCCTTTTTTGGCTGGTTATGTCGTTCCTAGGGTTAAAAAAAAAAATGGCAATACAAAGAGTATTATCTTTCAAATGAAATTTTAAAAATTCTTTTTAAATTTTAAAACCAAATAAATCTTCACACACACACACACACACACACACACACACACACACACACACACCTATTTATTTATTTATTATTTCCGAGGCAGGGTTTCTCTGTGTAGCTTGGCTGTCCTGGACTCACTGTGTAGATCAGGCTGGTCTCGAACTCACAGTGATCCTCCTGCCTCTGCCTCTCTGAGAGCTGGGATTACAGCCGCAGGCCACCACACCCAGATAAGTGTATTTATTTTTAGATTACAAAGTACATTCCTTTTGAATTTCAGCCTGCCATTTGCAAGTGGCTTTTAAATTTACATCATTGTAGTTTTTATGTGCCTGCCCTGACTGCCAAGTGCTGGGGTGAAAGGTGCGAACCATCTCCACCCTGTTCATTGTAACTCTAGAATTTAGTTTTTGCTCTTGCCCTTTCCTCTCTGCCCTTCCTCACCCTCCTAACCCCCCTCTCCTCTGCTTTCCTCTCTGTCTCTTTCTATGTCTGTCCTCTCTCCCCTCTTTCTCTCTTTTCCCTCTCCCTTCCTCTTCTCCCACGCTGCTCCCAATAAATCTGTGGTTATATAATATGGCTTCATCTCGCTGTTAACTCATTTCTGTTTTAATCAAACATCTGGTGCCTGTGACTCAAGGGAAGTTGAGCCCTCTGAGCTGGACTTCTGGGGCCACTCCCTATACCTCATTGTTCTCCACCTATTCTGATTTGATCATCTTTAAACAGGAAAGAAGTTGAGTGCCAGCCAGGTGACTCTGAGCCATGTGGGGACCAATTTTCTCCTACCTTCCTCTCTGCTTGATCCAACTTTGTGCTTGTCATTCATCTTTTTGTAAACTTACAAAGATTCTTGTAAGCATCGGGAGATCTACTGGAATCCACAGGTCACCACCCTCCAGATAATAACTGCCAATCAACAGCCTGTTTTCCAGCCTCCCTATTCCTGAGGTCAGGATTCCTCCCCTGGTTTTAGGACTCCCCTCCCCCAACTACCAAGAGCATGGGTCTAAAAGTCCATGAGCCCAAAAGTTTCAAAAATACAACTAAGAAAAAATTTTCTCTCCCTGAACTCCTTAACTTTATCTTTTGCCCCTAACATATCCTGTTTCCTCAAAAGCTGCATCCAGAGCTCAGGTGTTCCAGTCTAAACTTCACAAACTGCTCCAGCTAGGCTTGCAGTTTCCTAGCTGGAGGTGGTCTGGCAGATCCTGGAAATAACAACAGCCTGCTCTTGGGACTTGGCCGACTTTTTCCAGACTTTTGCCCCACCCCCAGAATCATTGCCTCCAGTGTCAGCTAGAAGTAGCCAAAGAAGATTCTTTGCCCATTATCCATGTATTATCAGCAAAAGGCTGGGAGGTTAGGTCCCTAGCTACTGCAGGGCGTGACTGGCACACCCTGCCCTCTACATAGGGGCGGGGCTTCCCCTCCTCCAGAGGCCTTCACTATATAAGACATTTGGTTCCTCTTGCCCCTTTTGCCCTTTCCTCTCCCCCATTCCTTTCATTCCTTTCTCTCTGCCTTTCCTATCCCTCTTCCCCCATCCTTTGCTCTCCTCTCTGTCTCTTTCTCTATCTTTATAGTGTGAGAGCTTCTCTTCTCTCTCTCCCTCCCCTTCCCACTCTGCTCCCAGGAAATCTGCAGTTATATAATTAAAAAAGAAAGAAAGAAAACAACTAATTTATAGAGATCCTCCTGTCTCTGCTGGGATTAAGGGCATGGGTTACCATTGCCCTGCTCAAATATTTTATCTTGGCTCCAAATCACACCAACTCTTAGAGATGTAGAAAACAAATTTGAACTGTAAAGTCTTTTCAATTTACTTACAACATTTTAAATTTAAGAAGAAAACTTTAGTCTTTCTTAGTTAGTTTGGACCGAATGACCAAGCTGTCTGGTGAACTATTGTCTTTCCTTATTTAGGGCTGAACCAAACCATAACCACCTCTTTACAATAAACAGAAAGCTCTTGGGTTAAAGGTGTGTGTTAGGGTCAAGCCATACCAAACAAGAAACAGGTTTTTTACAGTTCACAATCTCAGCATTCACAATGGGGTTAAATGTCCTGCAACATACGTATGCACAAATGTATATGAGTCTGGTTCTGTTGTTTGTGTGTATATGGTTTCAGGTCTGACCACTCTGCCTTGGACAACCAGTAAGGGGTCTCCTCCCTGGGAGAGGCTAATTCTCCTCTCAACAGCCAGCAGTTGCTTATGCTTTTTGCGTAGGGGTGGGTCCCTGTGAAATACCCATATTCCACATCAGTATATCTACTGATGATGATGTTGTTCCAGTCTTGTTCATGGAGCCATTTCTGTGAGAAACCGTTTCACAGCAAAATTCTTGGTGTTCTGATTCTTCTATGATATTCCATGAGCTATAATTGCAAAAGCTGTAATGTAGATGTATCCAATGGGGCAGGGACCCCAACGATCTGTTAATCTCTGGTCTAGCTTTCATGGCTCCAGAAAATACAATACAAGCTCCCATGGGAGGGAAACAGTCAAACTGTTCTCCCCAGCTGCAACACCTTGAACCACACCTACCATCATGGCAAGACATGCATAAAGGTATGAAAACAGGCACTCGTGTGTTAGTGGCAAGCAACAGCTGCCTCATTGGAGTTAAGGCCCTTTTAACAAGAGGGAAGTCATGCCCAGCACTGGAAACTTAGTCAGTTTGCTGGGCTAGAGAGGTTGTATACCTTAAAGAATTTACTACCACCACTTTGCTAGACCAGCATCACTCCTTTCTGTATTCAAAATCTTATCTTTAGACCCACACATAAGTGTAGCTACCACCCATCATCAAAGAAGCATCTCTTCACAGCAGATGGAGAGCATCTCAGAAAACCACAGCTGAGCATAATGCTTTGGACATTTGACATCTTGCCGTGATGTGCCACAAGAGGTTCTTCTCTGGTCATGTCTAGAGAAAACTTATTGTGTTTAAGCATCTACTTCTTTAGGTTTGTGATATTCATGGCTACAATCTTACTGAACAGATTCCCATAAAATTTTTAACATAATTGTCACAGCTCCTTCTCCTGTGCCATAGATCCATAGGTTTATTATCTTAAGTGATAATTATTCTCTGCCTGATTTTTTTCAATGAAGTTTTCTTCTATATTTTGTATTTGATAATTTCTGTGTTTATAAAATGAGCAAGATCTTACTCTCCCAGGATGTATGGAATAAAGCTAGACAGTAAATAATGTAAACCAATAGGTGGTAAATGTACAAATGAACTGACTTGGGCTTTTGAAAAGCATTGCAGGCAAGTAAGGCAATTAGTACTTCTGAGTAGGTATCTTGTCTAAGTTGAGGCTTTAGTGATAAGAGCTAGCCATAGGAAGCATGAATCGAGGTGACAGTCTGAAGAAGAGCAAGCATAAAGTTTTGAGCTAGAAAAAAGCTGGTGATAGAAGAAACTGTTGTTCTTATAAAACTGTGTTTGTTTCTCAGTTTCACTCTTAACCTTAACAGTTTAACAGCTGCTCTCTTAACAAATAATTGAGACTCTTTTATATTTATTTAATAATAAGCGTCACAACACAGTAACTGAGCAGTTATTAGCCCTCTAAGCTAATTTGGCTTCCTTCCAGCATACACCCCAGAGATACTTGCCCCCTGTAGCCTCTTGCTCCAGCTCCTCTCTTTGATGTCTTCTTGACCTCTCCCTTGGCTCAGTCCTCTTCTTCCTCCTCTAACTCCTCCTCCCCTGACTGGCAGGAAGTCCAGCCCTATTCTCTTGCCTGCTCAGCGATTGGCTGTAAGCTGTTTTATTGGCATATCAGGGAACAATTGGGGAGCAGTGTTTATGCAATATTGATACAGAAAATTCTGGGAAAAAGAATTGCAACCAGATATTAGGGAGGAGGTATAGAAATCAGCATTTGAATTACACAATAACCTTATGCCTGCTAGAAACTATAGTAGATTTATTGTGAGAAGGAAAGATAACACAAAGTCTTGTAAGCCAAATAGCATTTGGACTTTATTTGGTGTTACAGTGTCCGAGGCTGTGAGCATGTTTAGCTTCATCTCTGTTACCTATCATAACTAAGTATCCAAAAACTTAAAATTTAACTTAAATTGTTTATGCAGGTAAAGTATAATTGTAACCTCTTTCAAATTAAGTTTGAATAAAGTAGCCAAGATATGGTGAAATTGGCATCTTAGATTATATAGTGATTCTTCATGTTCCTATATATATTTGTGCCTGTACATTAATGTATATGCTATGATGTTTTGGGACTTGACATGATCCTGGGTCAGTGAAAACATTAGATTATTTATTTTTTTATTTCATTTTACTTTCTGTTTTTTTGAGACAGGTTTTCTCTGTGTAGCCTTGGCTGTCATGGACTCACTTTGTAGACCAGGCTGGCCTTGAACTCACAGAGATCCACCTGCCTCTGCCTCCCTAAGTGCTGGGATTAAAGGCCTACATTTGATTTTTTTAAAATGTACAGAGCTATGTATATTTCATAAACACATCTATTTGAGAGGTGTGTGTGTGTTTTGGTATAAAACAGAAAGCCTGGCAAATAGGTACTTGTGTTGTCATTGAGCTACATCTCCCAAACATGATTTCCATCATGTCATCATACTTTAAAATGTAGATAGATAAACTTGTGAGATGGCTCAGCACATAAAGGCACTTGTCATCAAGCTTGATGCCTTGAGTTCAATCCTCAGGGCCTATATGGTGGAAAGAAGGAACCAATTTTCAAAGACATCCATATGTACTGTGGCATGCATCATCTCCCATCCTGCTATCACATATGCACCTGTGTACTCAATAAATAGATAGATGATTGAATGAATAAATAAATAGAAATTAAAGATACAGATAAAGGACCAAAATAAAGCAACTAAAACATCAGTGTTTTAGAGTTATAATTTAGAGATTTTCATGTTCTGGGTTTTTTAATTATTTCACTATAAAAATTACTATAAACAATGTTTTATTATGATAATAGTATTCCACCATTTGCTTCATATGTTCAACTGTGTTAAATGTTTTGATATTTAATTTCTTATTATTGCATGTTTTATTGTAGCCTCGTGCTGTGGCAGGCTTTCGAGGGACAGTTCGTTATGCATCAATCAATGCTCATCGGAACAGGGTATGTATCTGGTCCAGAGGGTCATTATAACTGCATGTCCATAGCTTGCATCAGACTGACATCTTCATATTTCAGTTTAAACGTATAAAAAGTTCTCAAGAGCTGAGGATCCCTTTTATAGCTACACATTTACCTGAATGGTTGTTCTGTATAACACTAGTTCATGGTAAGATGTAGAGCAGATGACAGGTATGGGCAGTATAGAAAATAAAGTTGCATTTGCAAGAACAGGCAACAGCTAAGTATGTTTGTTGTGAATGTATCTGTTTAATTATATATTAGTATTGAAGATTAAATATAGATGTTTGAAGAAATAAAATACCTGAATTCTGTTCTAAGAAATTATTTGTGGGTTGGGGCCTTTGAGATGGGTCAGCAGGTAAAGGTACTTAACCACCTAGCCTGATAATCTGAGTTTGAACCTTCAAACCCACATAGTGGATGAAGAGAACTAACTCCAGCAAGTTGCCTGATCTCTGCATACTTAACGTGGCACATGAGGACCCACACATGTTCACACACCCCCCCCCAAACAAATATAGTAAAACAGTTAATATGGATATAATACTGTCAGTGCCTAATGGAATACAGAGTGTTTTCATCATAATGTGTAATAGTTTTTATACATCAAGTCCTTTCTTTTTGTAACAGGGATCATGGAGATGTAGCTCAGTAGTAAAGCTCTTGACTAGCATGGGAAGACAGAGTCGAACAGTACCTGAGTGGGGAGTGAGGACTGAAATAATTAAAGCAAGTCACACTACACATGGGATCAGCTTGAGAGGGCTGTCAGTAAGACTGCAGCCAGGAGTTTATTCCACAGTTGCTTTTTTTTATAGGCAAAGCAAAAAGCAGTCACATCAATACAAGAAAGAAGTTCCTGGAACTGCCAAACTTGTTTTCTTAAACTACTTCCCTGTAGCAGATATGGTCCAAGGTCACACAAAAAAGTTTTAAGGAACTTGGTGAAACATCCATGCTCTGTCTCAAGGTGAAGGCCAGGATGAAAACTTGTTTTTCAGTGAAAAACTCAATAACAGAGCAGCTTGACAAGCAGCTCTCCACAGAAGACCTGGTTTAACCCCCCCACACCACAGCAAAAGCAATAAATAGCCTAAGCCAAAACAGCATTGTTTTTCTTATCACTGACTGAAAGAAAAAACTTTTAGGATTGTTCTTTTTTGTTTGTTTGTTTGTTTGTTTGTTTATTTGTTTGTTTTAAGACTGGGTTTCTCTGTGTAACAAGAGTCTTGGCTGTCCTAGAATTCACTCTGTAGACCAGGCTGGCCTTGAACTCACAGAGATCCACTTGCCTCTGCCTCCCTGAGTGCTGGGATTACAGACATGTGCCACCATGCCTTGCTGATGGCTTATTTTTAATTTTCAAAGTTGTCTTTGGGTCTGGTTACTTTTGGTGAGAATTCTTTTATTTGCAACATTTTCATTTAAAAAGTTGAAGTAAGAATTTAAAAATTAAAAATAAGTGACTGAATAAAATTTTTGCAATGCTGGTGGTACCTAGGGCCTTTTTGTTAGTAAGCAAATAATCTCCCATTCAACTACATTCCTATTATCTCTTCTTAAATCATTGATTAATTAGTAAATTTTTAATTATATTTTCAGCATTTCTAGGTTTTAGAGGTTTATTTATTGGGTTGGTTTTTGAGATAAGATCTCTTATGTCTCAGTCCGGCTTCAAGCTCACTAAGTTTGGCAAGGATGGCAATGAACTTCTGATCCCTCTTCTTTTTCCTTCCATGTCCTGGGATTGCAGGCATGCACTGCCACACACCGTTTTATGTGGTACTGTGTATCAGAGCAGGGCCTTATGCATGCCAGGCAGTTAGTCTACCAACTGAGCTACATCTCAGCCCTATGTTCGTTTTCCTTTTCAGTGGTGACTGGTTTTTTTATGATGTTGAGAATATAACACAGGGTCTTACACACACTTAGTGAGTACTTTACCACTGAACGACACCTCCAAGCAGGACATTATTTATATCAAAACATTTCTCAGTATATTCTGCATATGGATTGCTATATCACTATGCAAACATACAGATGCTTCCCAGATGGTTTATGGGAAATAGAATTAATGGGTGGGCTTAAACAGTGTGATGCACTCAGAAAAATTGGTAATATAATATAAATTAATTCTCTTTTATTTTTTAAGGAAATGGGAAGACATGATGACCTTTGGTCTTTATTTTACATGTTGGTCGAGTTTGTGGTTGGTCAACTGCCTTGGAGGAAAATAAAGGACAAGGTAATTTTGAATCTTAATGTCAATTTTGATGAGGGAAAGAACAAAATTTTCTATTCAATCCAGGTAGTAGTGGTTCGGACTTTTAATCCCAGTATTCAGGAGGCAGATCTCTGCAAGTTTGAGGCCAGCCTGGTCTACAGAGTGACAGGACAGCATAGCCAGGGCTACACAGAGAAACTCTATCTTGAAAAAAACAACCCAGCTCCCCCCCCCCAAAAAAAAAGAAAGGAAAAGAAATTTTTTCTCAGTAAGCACTTTTTCTGAAAATATACGTAAATATTATATAATATCTTCTTGTATTGATACCGTGTAGGCAGATGAAGATATAATTCAGTGATCCAGTGTGTCCCTAGCATGTGTAATTCCCTGAACTCAATTCCTTGCACTATAAAAACAACAAATGAAAAGAAAAAAAATCATATATATCCCTCCCATATGTGGGTAATTTTTGTATTTGAGTATCAGTTTAGTTGTATGCTCTATTGTAAGTTTTTAAAAAGGAAAATCCACTCATAAATGAAACTTAAAAATCTATAAGCAACTTCATATATTACAATATGTGTGTTTCTCTCTGTAAATTGATATTAGAGAGATAATTATGATTTTTCATATATATTGTGAATACATACATTTTATAAGAATGGCATTTCTTCTGATGTGGATTGTAGGTCTTAGTTTTTAATTACCAAATTATTTTGTTTGGAAAATTACAAAAACTATATTGCTAAAGGTAAGTAGACACACTTCTTTAACCCTTAGGGTTTATCGGTTCACTGGTCAGACTCCATATTACTCTGCTAGCTCTGCGTTAGGTTATCTTTCCTTCCACATTGAAGCACTGTGTAAAGCCATTAGTGAGCACTGATTCTTGCCTTGTGCTTTATAGCACTTTAATAGCCTGGTTTATTTTCTTGAGATTGTTCCTGTGGGCGTGTAATGCATGGCTTTTAAGAGAAGCTGATTGATTCCTGTTCTCTTTACCTTCCAGGAGCAAGTAGGCTCCATTAAGGAAAGGTATGACCACAGGCTCATGTTAAAACACCTCCCTCCAGAATTCAGCACCTTTCTTGACCATATTTCCTCTTTGGATTATTTTACAAAGCCAGACTACCAGGTAACCATCTTTGTGATTTCTATTTGTTGATTTTTCATTCTTTTAAGTCTGCACTTGTACTCACTGTAGATTTAAGAATGTCAGAATTAAGTATGGAAGGTGCCTAGAGTAACATTATTTTAATACAGCTTAAGAAATGTGAAATTGACATGATGATAATGATCATGATTATGATCATGTGGGGTATGCAAACCTGTCAAGAATGAGAGTCAGAGAGTCTTTTGGATGGATTTACTTCATGAATTGGATTTATTTTGTTAACTTTTTTTCCTGTTCTTGAAATGATTTGCCTAGTACACAGAGCAATGGTTCTCAACCTAGGCCACGACACCTTTGGGGGAGGCTAAATGACTTTGACAGGGATCACTGAAAAGGATTGGAAAACACAGGTATTTACATTACAATTCATAACTAGCGAAATTACAGTTATGAAATAGCAATGAAAATAATTTCCTGCTTGGGGGCTCACCACAACATGAACTATATTAGAAGGTCACAGCCTTAGGCAGGTTGAGAATCACAGATATGGAGCATGATGATAATCTAATTTTATAATTAGCTGAGGGCTGTCTGTGGTACTGGCTGGCACGCAGTAAGTGTTACTGCCTCTCTTCATCTCTGGCCACTGAATTAATTCTGTAGCGTAGCAGTTAATGAGCCTTTCCAATGACCAGCTAGGTTTGCCTCAAGTTGTATTTTTTGTTTGTTTGTTTGTTTGTTTGTTTGTTTCAGAGAGGACCTAGTTAAAGCTAAATGCAAAAACAACTCCACTACTGAAAATATAAATACAGCCCCACAGAAAATAATAACATATTAGGATATAATTTTATCTCTATTGGGTTCTGCTGCTTGCTAATGGAAGTTTTAAATTCTAAAGTGTTGTCTGTGTTCCTGCCTATCCCAAAGTGAATTCAATTTCATATAGTAATTATTTCTCTAAGCAATTACAGCTGTTATTTAAGGTATAGACTGGCTATAAAGTAGAGTCAACAAAACCTTGGGTTTGAGAGACCTAAGTGAGCAAATTTATTTATTTTATATAAAATGGACATTTTGCCTACCTGTATGTCTTTGTCTGTCTGGTGTCTGCAGAGGTCAGGAAAGGGTGCTGGCTTGGATTTTAGTTTGGATTATTATTACCATGATGAAATACCATGACCAGAGCAACTTGGGTAGGTTTATTTGGCTTACACTTCCATATCACTGTTCATCATCAAAAGAAGTCAGGACAGAACTCAAACAAGGCAGGAACCTGGAGGCAGAACTTGATGCAGAGGCCATGGAGGGGTGCTGCTTACTGGCTTGTTACTCCTGGCTTGCTCAGCCTGCTTTCTTATAGAACCCAGGACCACCAGCTGAGGGATGACACCACCCAGAAAGGGCTGAGCCTTTCCACATCAATCATTATGAAAATGATCTACAAGCTCCATTGTATGAAAGCATTTTCTCAGTTGAGGCTCTGTTCCCTCAGGGAACTCTACCTTGTGTCAAACTGACATCAAATTAGCTAGCACACCCTAAAACTGGAGTCATAGATGGTTGTGAGCTACCCTGTGGGTGTTGGGGATCAAACTGCTCCTCTGGAAGGACAGACAGTGTTCTTAACTGCTGAGTCATCTCTCCAGCTCTTGAAATGTTCTCCTTGTATTTGCATTTTATATATTTTAAGTGAAAATGATTCATATTACTTGCAATAAAATAATAAAATTGTACCTGTAAGGCTAGATCTAAGAAGACCAACTTTCCTGTGTTGGGTACTGATAATTTTTTATTCACAAATTGCTTGGGAAAAAATACAAAAGTTTAGGATTTTGTTTATATTTGCTTCTAGTTATACTTGTAATCTAAAACAGACTGCCATATACCAGCTAATATTTGAAAATTCTAGTTAAATAACTGTTCTCAAGTTTTTCATTTTGATATTCTGTAAGGGTCATCTCTGTCATTTATTAACAGAACAAAGTATGGTTACTTTTTTTCTTTGGGGAGGGATGGAGTAGACATGACATTTTCTGTGTTTCATACACCGTAACTAATCTGATTTTCTTCTGCTCTCTCATGTTTCATAAGCAATGAGTGGGAGAGAGCAGGTGACAGGAGAGGATAAGTAGGGAGAAATGTTGACATGAGTGATTGAGTGACCAGTGGCAGTGTGATACCAGTTTTCAAGAAGATCTGAGCTTTCCAGCTTTATTCTCTTGCTGCTTTTATGAGCATTGTTATGATCTTCGTTTGAGAAGAATGTATTTTGAATCTGAATTTGAAATGATACTTTCCGTATAGCTAATTTCAATCTGAAGTTTATTCCTGGGCTGGGCATGATATTGCACCTTTAACCCCAGCATTAAGGAGGCAGAAACAGGTAGATTTTGTGAGTCGGGGGCCACTCTGAGCTTCACTTGCTCTGTGTGGCGAGTGTCAACCAAGGCTATACAGTGAAATCATGTCAGAAAAGTCTTCCTTTCTAAATGTGATTTTGATCACTGTTTCATGGGGTTCTTCATGGTAGAGTCATATAGTTAAAATAACAGCCTTCCTCCAGCAATAGGTGAAGGTGCCCAGGGGGGGCAGCATGACTGACTGCTTAACTGTGTTAGAGTGTGGATTCCAACTTCATATCGTCAGAGCTGAGACCAAGATGAAAACATGTTTTTGTAATCAGAAAGGATCACAGTCAACTTTTACTGAGAATGTGTATGTTTTGTTAAATATTTAAAGATTAAGGAATTATTTTATAGGTCATTATTATCAAGCCACACAGGACTAGTACTTCATCCAATAGCACACTCTGACAGCAGATTATAGACCTAGAAAAAAATAGCTATTTGTGTGTATGTGAAAATTTTCATCATCATCATCATTGTTAACATTAATTACAATTTATTCACTTTGTATCCTGACTCTAGCCCCCTCCCAGTTCCACCCTCCCACTTCCCCACCACCCATGTCCCTCCCCTAGTCTACTGATAGGGGAGGTCCTCCCTGCCTACTATCTGACCCTGGCCTATCAGGTCTCATCAGGACTGTATCCTCTTACTCTGTGGCCTGGTAAGGCCACCTTACCAGGGGAGGTAATCAAAGAGCAGGCCACTGAGTTCATGCCAGTGACTACTCTGGCTAGGCTACCTAATTCTGCCTTTGGCAGGAGGCAGAGTCAGCTCTCCTGCTCTCCTACTCTCCTGCCGGCTCATATGCACATCTCCAGAGCTAGCTCCACTGTGCTGCCCGGTCAAGGTCCAGGGCCTACTCTCCCAAGTGCTGCAGCCTCTTGCTCTTATGACCCCGTAGCCAGTTCTCCCAACTGTCAAAGGTGGTGGGTGGGCGAGGGCTTAGCCACTGCATCCATGCCATGCCACCTCATGGCAGATGAGTGTCAGGGCCAGATCTCCCTCCCTCTGGCCTCCGGGCTGGCTTACCTGCTCCCCATCAAACATGGCCAGCCCTACTGCTGCTCAGGTGAGGGGCAGGCAGGACCTGCTATCTCTAGTGCTGTAGCCAGAGAGGACCAGGGCCAGCTCACCAGCTCTCATGACCCCAGTACCAGCTCTCTTGACTGCTGCAGGTGGTGAGGGGCAAGGGAGGAGGGGGACGGCGTCACCCACGCAGCCACTCCACCTCACATCAGACAAGTAGTGGGGCTCTGCTGTTCTCTTACCCTCAGGGCTAGCTCACCACCACCAGGGTCAGCTCTGCTGTGCTGTGCAGGACCTGAGTACTACAGCTGTTGAGGAGCAGAGCTAGCTCTCCTGGGCTTGTGACTGTGGGTAGAGGGTGGGGCAGGGTGGTGTCTGCACCAGTGTCAGCCCACAGCAGGCAGTGGCAGGGTCAGCTCTCACACCCTCACACCCTCCGCTCAGCGACAGCTCCACTGTGCTGTGTGGGCAAGGTCAGGGTCCAGTCTCCAGAGTGCTGCTGCTGGTGAGATCAGCTCACCAGAGTGCCTCATCCAGTGGGGGGTGGGGCTAGTTATGCACAGCCCCTGGACATCCATGTGTTCCCCTCTGGACCATGCATGGCCACGTACTCAACAGAGGCAGCTCGGGCTGGGACCTCACCATGGCCCCAGGTGGCAGAGCTGACCACTCACAACATGCTACTCCTCCCCACCCTTAAGTCTCTGGTTCTACCTCTCAAGCTCTCCAATGCTCAAGCTACTCCACTTCTCTCTCTCCCATCTGCCCACCACATACACATTGTGGGCTGGCGGGCTGGTGGTCCCCTGGGTGACAGTCTTCAATCTTTGCTGAGCAGTGTGTCTGCAAGCGGGTCTCCATGACCCACCTGTGCTGTGTGCTGGAGGGCAGCTCCATGGATGGCATGGCGGCCCACGGGTCTCTGTCTTTTTCTCTTAGGCTGTGCTGCCTGGATTTGACTTGATTTGGTTTTATGAGTCCTAGACATAAGATATGTTTGGCCACCAAACCAGGCATGAAGCTAGGATGAACAAAGGACTGGCATCTGCTCTGCCTCTGACTGACACACCACCACCACCACCAAGGTGTCTCCATTAAGTTTTTAAATCCTAGAGAAACAAGATCCCCCCCCCCCCCAGGCATGTGTACATGTGTGCCTGTGTGGGTGGGTGGGTGGGTGGTGCATGTGAAAGTCTAAGGTTCATATTGGGAGGCAGGGTCCCTCAGTTGAACCCAGAGCTAACTGATAAAGACCCAAACCGGGCCTTTGTCTTTAATGCCTAACTAAGGAAAAGGGGGGGGGGGGTTTGTCATTCTCATTGGCTGAGGTTCAACATCACATTCTACTAATTGGCTAATTTGGAAAGCAGCTCAAAAGAAATGCAGGAAGGAAGAAGGGGCCATTATGGGAATGTAGCACTGTCTTTGGATAAGTAGAAGTTCTACCAGCAGGGGATATTAAAATATTTGAATTTCTAGTAAGGCGCAGTGGTTCATGCCTTTAATCCCAGTTCTTGGGAGGCAGTGGTAGGTGGATCCCTGTGAGTAGAGGGCCAGCCTTGCCTCCATAGCAAATTCTAGGCCAGT